AAACTCACCCACCCACCCCCCCCCCCCGCACCAGGGTCAACCGTCCGTTGGACAAAGTCCAACGCGACGACGAGAGTAATGCCGAGAGTGAACGTACGCACGGAGACACAGACGGCTCGCGGGTGGCGAGAGTGAATGCCGGCGCGGAGAGCGGTGAACATCGGTCCAACGTCGCTCCAATATCGGTCCAACGTAACGGTTGACCCTGCCCCCCCACCCTTCCCCTCTGGATGAACCTCAGAATATATGCTTCTGATATACATACATTATCTAATTATTGAATGTAGCATTATTGTGGAAAATACCTTTGCTGTCGGAGATGTCGGGCTTTCATCATCGTAGTGGTGCTCGAATGAATACATCGAGGTGGTCGGTAGTCGATACTCGCCTTGTTCTTCATCTGACTCGTCAAGGTGAAGTCTGAAAGTATCCATTTTAGTCTACTAGACAGACTCAAAAGACAAAACACTATCCCCAATCCCGCCTCCCTCCTTATTGGGAATCGTGATTTCACCTTTCGCCTTCCCGATCATTTGTGCTCCGCGAAACCGCTTCACCTCCGCCCAGATTTCAGTTGTATATTTGCCATCGTTTATGAGCTCACTGTTACCCACCCCCCACCCGCTCAAGTACGTGACAGTATCTGCTTGAAAATTTATGAACGTACACACCTGTTTCGGAGTCTAGGACGATTCTACCTGCCTAACATAGCGTAACCGCTCGATTTCAACCCAGATATAAAAACCCTTCGCTGTGGTGAAAACGTGAAGGATGCAACAGCAATGTTTCGTCAGACCAGTAGTAGAGAGCGCTACGACAACGTAAACGCACTAAAGTCAGCAGCAGCATTGGGAGATCAATCTCTTCCGTGACTCGGGGAAGCTGCTCACAGATGGTAAATATACGCCGTTACCGCGGCTCAAGAGCGCGCCATTGTGGTGGGCCCGCTGTGACCTAGCAGGAGAGTCTGCGTCTAGCTCGCCGCTGTGTTCTCTCGCCTGTTCTCTCTCCTTGGTGCGCAGTATCTCTTCGTTATAGCTCAATTTATCTCACGAAAATGAACCTCATCTCAGTGTCTTCGTCGGTTTCTTCTTGCTTTTCATCGCGATTCCTTTCCACCTCTATTTGCATTCTGATCCAAATTACCATATATTTGGTGGCGGAAAGTGTGTTTTACTATCAGGGACATTCACGGGGAAGGGATGACGAAATCTCAGCGCTATTCGCTTCGCATGAATATTCAGATTTAGCAATAAATTGCGAAACCCCTAAAATATAGCTCACCCAGAAATCGCCTTGATATTGATCACATTGTCGCTGTCGAGGGCGGGCAGAGTATCACCAATGGCACCAAAATCAGACACAGCCCGTTGTCGTCGGTTCGCAGCACGTCGTGGAGCTGGCGGTGTACGGGACACACCTGAACCCCGAGTTTTACAGTACGACACGGGGAAAAGGGGGGCGAATAGTCACAAAGAAGAAACATGCAAGAAAGAAGCATCACTGAAGAAAAAAACCTTTGGGTGGCGTTACAGTAATCACTCCAGCCGTTCCGCCGATGGCACCGGATTTCTTCACAGTGTTGTCACTACTACGTTGAGCTACAATCACAAATCACATTGAACACGTGCAAATCACACTCACAAAAAGATCGAGGCTCCGTTTCAGCCCAAAAGCTTCACCAAAACATGCAATATAGATCAAAATCGCAGCCAAGGCGAGAAAAGAATCTTCCAGAGGCTGCTCTCACACTTTGGACTGTCTGTGCACCAGAAAGAATATTGATCGCAAGCGCGCAAAATCGATGTTCACAGAAAGCACGTGCGCATTTGGCGCAATAAACACAACCGACGAGGGCGAATCTCATAATCGAAAGAAGCAACTTACATTTTCCTCGTGACGAAACCACCGTCCAGCCGAGCGATCTCCATCGATACGGTGTCACCGGCTTGCCGGACGAGTTCCACAGCACGATGTCGATCACCGCCTTCCAGCGAGGCGCCGTCGACACCCAGCAAACGATCGCCCACACATAAACCCTGGAACAGAGAAGATTACGGTACGAGGAATTTCACAAATAAAATCAAGAAATGAGAAAGCAATTCGTTTGAGGTTATCAAACTTCTTTGGATAGAGCCGTGCTTTTTCAGTTCTACGTAGGACACAGCGAATTTTTCACATGTTGCCTATCTGATCAAATTTTATGGGCCCGTCGGGTTTCACGTTTGTTTATCCTCCTTGCAAATCTTGGCACAACAATCCTATTCGAAGCTGAAGATGTGGAGTCTGTACTGGGCCAGTCTCAAATCGTTAGGTGAACCACTACCCTTCTGTTCATCCGAATATCGGAAATTCCAAAATAAAAGACATCGGCCCATTTTTTGGAAAGTCCCACGTTGCTAGTGTGATTTAAAACACTGCAACATTCTCTATTAGGATATTTAAAAAAAGTGTTCAATATATTATGTATATGTATTACGCATGAACAAATTCAACGAGAAACGAAAGGGTCCGATAAAATGCTATACAAATTATTGACGTTTTGGGGCATATGTACTAGGATGTGTGCAACAGGGTCAAGCGTGCGTTGAGGAATCCTCGACACGTCGCAGGGGGGGGGTCGTATTGGCCCGCTGGGTGGAAGAGATCGAGCCATTTTGATGCAGTGGGATCATCACCGTCGGAGGACAAACATCAAGGATGAGTCGATGCCAGGCCAGAGGATTTCCAATGAAAATGATATTTCACCCACACAAAATTTTCGTGATTCTGAGGCGTCCGGTAATTCTTAGTTACTTCAGTGTTTTATCACCACACAAGTTAAAGAATCTGAATTTCGCACGCTTTCCAAGAGATATTTCATCTTTCAAGTAAGACCCCGAATCTGAAGGGATGTGAGGTACACGGCGCATCCGAGAAAGGGTCTAGTTGTTTGCGCGCGCTTCAACTACGGCTCCTTGGACAAACAACCTCAATTCAGGAACAATCGAGAGAATTCTGAAAGTGTCCGTGCGCATTTACAGGGAGGTGTACACCATTCAACATTGCGTTAACGGACTCTTCAGGGTTAAATTTATAAACATGTAACCTTTAAAGTTGAGAAACGCTAATCAATCACTTTTCTTAGAAAGAGAAAAGCAGTGATTCCAAATCTGCTCTTACTTTAGTACATAATCGCCCTTAAAAGGATATACAGCCGTTGAAATAGTGCCAATGTAGCGAAAAAGTACCTTTCGGCGGTACTCGTGCGAAAATCCTCAACGTAGCCGTTTTTTTAATACTGGACGTTTGGAGCAGTTCTAGTAAGCATTTGATAGAGCAAATCTTCTAGTTTATGATGGCGTATTTACTTTTCGGATTGGATGAGTTTGAACGGAGTTATGGCTTTAGGAAAGTAAAAAAACTCGCACTCATCACAAATTTTCCTCGTTAATTTTGCAAAAATCCTCAACGTGGCCATTTTTTGAATACTGGACGTATGAAGCTGCTTTAGCAACCGTTTGATAGAGAAAATCTTCTAGTTTTGTATGACGTATCAACTTTTTGAATTTGACGGAAATGAAGCAAGTTATTGCTCCGGAAAGTGTAAAAACTCGTGCTCATCTCGAATTTTCCTCGTTAATTGATCTAAATTTGTTATTTCTTATAAATTTTTGTAATTTCAATACTGATTAGAAAGAGCTCTTCACAAAACTCCCAAATCTGCTTTCAGATTGAAAATTCGTCATTTGAAGAAAGTTATAATCATTTGAATATTTGTTCAAATTTCAATAGTAAATAAGCTGCTCCACGGTCAACGCCAAAGTCCAGTCAACACACAGCTGGCGAAGGCGGTTAAAAAGCTTCTTTCAACTGAAGGGCTACGTGCAAATTGAGAACCACAATCTGTGTAGTACTAGAATTTGGTAAGTCTTGTGGAGGAAATAAATAAAGAACAGATGTTGTCATAGTATGCCATTTTTAGTGGCTAGTTTGTCGTTTTCTGGTCTGTTTCTCGTTTGCTCGTTTGGTAGGACTCATCAATAATGATTATTCTTTGACTTTTTCACTTTTGTACTTCTTAAACGAATTTTTTTGTGGGCGGTGGGGTAGCAGGGCTTTTTGAGCAGTTTTGGGGGAGAATTAAACAAGCTTTTCAACCTTTTCATAGTTCGGCTTTTGAAGAGGGTTGTTTCATGGACTTCGGCCTCGGCGGAGGGTGGTGGGGGGGGGTCGTATTTCCAAATTTTCCTCAACGCCTCGCTTGACCCTGGGTGGCAATTCGCGCTACTACCCGCGCGCACGCTCCAGGATCAAACCTGGAACGGATCTTACCCAAACGTAATTTCTACCCTCCGAGGTGGGTCATCTGGTACCAGAAAGTTTTGGAAGGATGGATTAACTGAGCTGTACATCGACTAGCCCAACTGCAACTTATGTATACAGTAGCGGTCAAAAGTGTTCGCCGAAACGGTTTTCGTGCTTCTCTTTTTTTGCCAGAAAAAATCAATGGTGGCCTCGAAATTTTTCTTTTGAATATCCTGATTCTTTAAGACTTGAGGATATAAAAACACTAGAAAACATAGTATATCAATCTTTGGAGGGCGTTGCTCAAGCGAGAAAAAATAATGCACTAAAAATCGTTTCGGCGAACACTTTTGACCGCTACTGTATGTAGATTATATCGCATTTGAGAGCCACTAAGATTCAAAATGGAAGTAGAATGCGTGGCGCATCCCAAAGATGGATAAACGCCGGAAGCTTCATCCTCTATTTCTATCAAGTGGGGAGCTGCTTTGCGCAGAGGGATCAAGGTGGTGTTCCGGTGCGGGTATCAAATGACCAGCCACTGACAATTATTTAGGCCGGACCGCCACGGCTCTGCACAAAGCTACCTCATCCACCATTCCTACATCTTGGATCATGGCTTTCCCCTTTTTGAGATGCGGCACGCATGATCCAAGAAGCGGGAAGGGTGGATTCTACTTCCATTTGTACATTCGTAGTGGCGTTTGAATGCGATGTGGCCTATACAATGACTTGCGGGCCAGCCGATGTACAAGTCAGTGTTTTTATCCTCCCAGACAAGTCTGGTACCAATTAACCGACCCCGGAGGGATGGAAGGCTTGGTTGGCCCGGGCGACTCACGACCCAGGATTTGATCCCCGGACCGCTCGCGTGGTAAGCGTGCCACTTGCCACTACACCACTTCCGCCCTAAATATCAATATTTTTTACTTAAAATTTTTTCTACACCTTTTTGATAATTATTCACGTGGGTACATGCTAAGGTAAAGCAGGTTCGATACCCACAGGGACGGACCCGAAAGCGACTCATTTCCATGAGTGAGGACACAAGGAAAAATGCGCCTCGAAATTAAGCTGTAAGGTTGCCAAATCCAAATATTAAAGATCCAAATCCAAATATTAAAGCAATTAAATAAAATATGCAAATAATAAACAAAACACGTTTTGGTAAATTAATTAATACGTTCGACTGCCCGCGTAATTTAATGAATTTGAAAAACTTACAGCTCGCATTCCAGCACCATTTTCAGCAACAGACTTCACATAGACACCCTTGACGCCATTGAGGTTACCGTCCACCAATGTGAGGCCAAGTCCACTTGATGGGTCCTTGAAAAAATTCAAGTTTAGGAGAATAATCAAATCCTAGTCGTTTCGTGGACAAACCTTGACGAGAGTGACCACAAATCGCATCCCTGGAAGATCACCATCCGTCGAATCGCCTCTAGACACCATTTCGAATCGTTCTGTCATGGAATCTGAATGGAAACGTCCACGTTCCGTCTTATTTTACTGAAGGGATACCATTGAAAGCGATGAACGACTGTACTCCAACGCGCTAACATTTGGTACATCCCCTGACGTATGTGAGCCGCTACTGACCTCAAACCCACATGTTTTCTCGTATCCGAGGTATGCTCGATAATGGCTTGTATTACCCGCAAACTCGCCTCTTCCGCCTTGACTTCGAATATTTGCGCTTGTGTCTGGGTCTCTCTCGGCTCCGTTCTATTTCTTTTCCTCTCCTCATCGTCTCCAGAATCTTTCGCCCAAGCGATCAGCTCATTCGAGCTATGCTCATGCATGCCCAAAAAAAGTCGTAAAATTAAGGGGTGGGGTCACATCAGTGGTGTCCGTAGCGGTTTCACTTCGGTTTTTTTTCATGGTTGCCCCATTTCTTCTCAATACTTCCCTGCAAATTATTCGGTTCCCTTATTTTCTCCTTTTTATGGCAATCCCATGGGAAAATTTCGAAGGTATTTAGCATTCTTAGCACGGTTATTGGCTGTGCGTGCGAATGTGCCACTAAAAACGTGTATGGTTTTGCTGCGACCCACACATCTACCAGTGATATGATTCTCCACAGTGAGAGGTCTGGGAAGGAAAACCTTGACTGGGGAATATGCATTTTTTGATATTCTGCGCCTGTGCTCGATCTCGCGCCAACAAAAACAACCTGGGCCCTTCCTCGGTACTTGTGCCGCGACTTTTTACCGTAAGGCTAACCTTTACCTTTTCGTAAGCTTTGCTTGAAAGAGTCAACTCAGCACAATCGGTGGTTGTGTACGATATCGTTTTAAAGAATCAGAGAGAAATATTGGGGTAATGGGTCAAAAAGGAGGGTTACATCACATCTCACCCATGCCTATATCGGAAAATCACGACAAAACCGTCACATCCGCGCTAAATCACCACGAACAACAAGACAGGTAGAAGTACTTACGGTTCGCACCATCCTGACTGTTGTTCCGTTCACTTGATGTGCGTTCTCTGGGCGTTGAAGCGTCCGGCGGTCGAGTACCGACTTTTGGCGATGGAGCCACAGTGGTGGCAGCCGCAGCAGCGACGGCAGAAGCCGTGGGCATTTTAGCGAACATCGTCTCGGCAGCTTCCAATGGTGAACGTTCGTCGTCCATCGATTCGTCAGCTACAACACAACACAAACCACATAACACCAAAACGTTCACACCACAACGTTCCAAAGAGTTTCATAAACTGGAGAGCCTGCGCTTATCAGGCTTATCCAAGAGATTATGCACCCCTCGAACGTTTTCCTTTGTTGGAAAATTAAGAAGGAACTTCGTCACAAGAATCGCCTATCTTCGAGGCATAGAAGCCATGGCAGTAACGGGTAGTTGTCTAACCAGACAGCCCTCCCGTGGGACAGTGCTCAGAAGAGAGTGAGTGGGGGAAGTGATGGCCTCCTTATGACAATTGCAGGAGATCGTAGTATTCTGAGGGAATACCGTTGTAAGGTGAGAGAGGAAAAAATAACGAGAGGTGAAGCATTCTTTCACAAAATTCAGAGACATTCCGAAACGTTCTCTCCCCTCCCTCCTACAGCAACAAGGCTCTTTGAC